TATTAGCAAGAATCTTGTTAAGAATTTTAAAGAAACTTAACAAGAATCTTGCTGGGATTTTTCACAAGGGTGTTGTCAATTGTACATGTGCACGTGTGTTTATGTGTTAAACGTGTTTGTTGTTATTGGAATATTTTAGACTTTTACATTCTCTCTCCCTCCCTCTCCCTCTCTTTCTCCCTCCCTCTCTCTCCTCCAGTTGATATATTTGGCACAGAGCTAGCTTTACAGTTTGACTGTCAGAGAGAGAAAGGACCTCCAGTTGTACTGAAGTGTATTGAAATGATTGAAGAGAGAGGTAATGCACACAGCACATGTACATGTACATATATTCACTAATCCTCTTATATGCACATATAAGTATGTACATGTACAATGTAATCTTATAGTATGTACAATGTATATTCATTAGGAATATTGTTACACTATAATCCTCTTCTATTTTATCATTATTGTACTATATACATGTACATGTATATTCTTATTACATGTACACATACGTGTAGGTCTTAGAGTTGAGGGTATCTATCGGGTAAGTGCTTCTCTTGGTGACGTGAACAAACTAAAAGAAGAGCTAAACAGAGGTGAGGTCATGTGACCATCACGTGACCTTATTGTGTTGTTTGTAGGTGTGGCCGGTATCAATGTACATGATCCTCGTTGGTCCGATATTCATATTTTTTCCGGAGCACTCAAGCTTTATCTGAGAGACCTACCAGAGCCGATATTCACCTATCAGATGTACCCTGAGTTCATTAAAGCTGGAAGTATGTGTACATGTACATGTACAGACTAGCCTCTATATAATGGACACTGTGTCTCTGTTATACAGAGGTGTCCTTTATGTGGAGGTTATTTTATACAGTAAGGAATGTAATTGGTACACTAGGTGCTGTCCGTTAAATGGAGGTGTACGCTATAGAGAGTGTCCATTAAGAGAGACTATACTGTACATGTACTGAATCTACATGTATGATCATTATTATTATCATTATTTGTGTCTTCATTTCTCTACAGGAAGCAGTAAAGATTATGACACCATTTATAGAAATGTCCAGCCATTGGTTGATAATCTACCAGCTCACAATAAACTAACTCTGGAGACATTACTGACACACTTAATAAAGTACAGCATTAAATCACATTATTATTATACTGTATAGTGTATGCTGTAGCCTGAAGTATTGTAGAAAATTAAATATTAGCCATTCTATGATTGTTGGTTTTATATCAGTGATTTAGGAGCCAAAAAATACCAACTCTGCCAATTTGTCCTGCTATACAGTATTATTTTATTTGTATGTCTTTTATATTTTTCCCCAGGATTGTTAATGAACAGCATTATAACAAGATGAATCACAATAACTTAGCACTAGTCTTTGGTCCTACTCTCATGAGACCAAAGCCTGATCAAATAGCGTAAGTTATACCCACCCTTTGACCTTTGACTTCTCTCCTTACATTACATATAGTGAACTTGTTGGTAACTGTGATGTCCACTGTAGAGTGGTGGATGTGTTGCTACAGAAGGGACCATGGAATATAAGTGAGGGGGAGGAGGAGGGAGAATAAAGAATAGTGTTATTTTTGTTGTTATTATTATTATTGTTGTTGTTGTTTAGAGCCACCAGATGTGTCTAGTCTTCGAGGAGTAAAGCGTAAGTTTTTAATTATTTTAAAAAGGAAAATATTATATTAAATATTGTCATTATAATTTGCCTTTGTACGATGGCTACAATGCGAATTTTACTTCAGTCCCAAAATTAATGTGTATCAATGCACCTCTTAAATAAAGACACTTTTATAATCAGGAAGGTGTTGGGGGGGGGAAATAGACAGGTTTGACTGTACTGTTCACATTCATTATCAGTGTGAGAATCTTAGGCTTCATTGCTATGGTAAAGCTAGTATCTTATGTACTATCATAACTTCCTTTAGTCACAAGATCTTTGAGTATATTTAAGGTATCGCCCACTTTTTGTATCTAGCTGACCTTCTTTAGTCTTTCTCTCCTCCTTCCACCTTCTTCATTTTGTTTTGTTGTTTCATCTGGTCATCAGGACTCTCTCTCATCACTCATTCACTGCCTTCCCTTCTCCTCCTCCTCCTCTACTTTGTTTTACATTCTCATTCATTAATGTAAATTCACCTTTACTACTGGTTGTTATAATAAAGAATTGTACTATCATAACTTCCTTTAGTCACGAGACTATAGAATATTCCAAGAGGTCATCAGGGCTATCTTTCCCCAGGCTACTCTCATTCTTGTTCATTCCGACTTCTTCATTTTCTTATCATTTGTTCTTGCTCTATCTTCATTTACCATCTTCTACCTTTATCTCTCTTCATTTTTCGTTCTTGCTTTACGTACACAATTTGTTCTTTTCTTAAAATGGCAACCAAACCATCTTCATCTTCTTCTCCTGGTCTCCTCAAACTGGAGGAACAGCTCACCTGTCCTGTGTGTCTTGACCACTATACCAACCCTAAGACTTTACCTTGTCTACATTCATTCTGTGAGCACTGTCTGGAGGGATTACCTCTGGATAAGAAGAATGAGACCTATTACCTCTCTTGTCCCACTTGTCGTCATTGTACAGAGTTACCAGAAGAAGGAGCAGGAGCCTTTCCTGTAGCATTTCATGTAAACAACCTCAAAGAGATATACAGTCTAATGAAGAAAGTAGCTGATCCTGAACAGGTCACCTGTGACAACTGTACTACAGCTAATGCCACTGGATACTGCAAAGACTGCAGTAAGTTCCTTTGTACAGAATGTGATGGAGTACACAAGAAATGGGGCCCAACTTCTAACCATCGGCTGACAAGTCTTGATGAGGTGATAGCCTCTGATGTCTCTTCTACTTCTCAATTGCTAGCTCCAGCTAAACAGGAGGCACCTCTCATTTGTCCCATACCAAGTCATGATGAGCCTTTAAAGATCTACTGTGAAACATGTGATAGTGTTATATGTCGTGACTGTATCATAGTCACTCATAAAGATCACAAGTATAACCTAATAGCTGATAGCTTTACTAAACACAAAGAAGCACTGGAGAAATCTCTTAATCCGGTAAAAAGAAAAATTGAAGGACTCAAGAAGGTCCTGTCTGCTCTAGCAGAGAGAGAGGGTGAAATCAGAGAGAGAGGAGAAGGAGTCTTAGAAGAAATACATGAAATGGTAGAGGAAATGATTTCTGTTCTTCGTGAGTCAGAGAGGAAACTGACTGAGCAGGCAAAGAGGGTCACTGATGATAAACTAAAGGTACTGTCAGAGCAAATGAAATCAGCAGAAATGAGTTTGAGTGTTCTGGAGGATGTTGAGGATTATGTGGAACAGAGTCTGAAGACAGGCAGTCCTCAACAAGTCCTGAGGTCTAAGAAACAGATGATGGAGCATATGAGTGAAGTTACTGCCGGGGTCAATGTGGAGGAATTACATCCAAAGGAAAAAGGTGACTTTGTATTGAGTAAAGATATCAAATCACTACATCACATTGGAGATATTGTGACCTACTCATCTACTGCACTACAGCAGTGTAGAGTGAAGAAGATTGATTGTATTACACCTGCTGGCAAAGCAGTTTCATTTTCACTATCAATGGAGGCACCAGATTCATCTGTTTTGTGTGTTCCCCTCTCTTCTCTGAGGTGTAGTCTAGTACCAGTTGGTAAAGGTGATCAACCCATTCACGCTACAGTCACTACCACCAGCACTGATCCTGGAGTGTATAGGATACAGTGTAACCCTTCAACCAGTGGTACTCATACAGTAAAAGTACAAGTATATGATGTACACCTTGAGGATACCTCACTAGTCATCCCTTTCAATCCTTACCTTGATAGCATCACTCCAGTACGTACTATAACTGAGCTTAATGGTCCCTGTGGAGTTGCTGTAACTGATGATAATCATGTCATAATAACTGAGTATGGTGGTAACTGTATAACAATACTGGATAGAGAAGGAAAGAAAGTGAAATCATTAGGAGGGGAAGGAGGAAGTGGTAATGTCAAGTTTTCTGGTCCTCGCGGTGTAGCCATTACTCCAGACAAATTCATTCTTGTATCTGATGATCACAGGATCCAGAAGATAAGCATGGATGGATACCTTATAGCATCAGTTGGTGAGAAGGGCAGTGAACCACTACAATTCAATGCTCCTTTTGGTATAGCCATTTCTCCTATAACAGGACAGATTTATATTGCTGATTTTTCTAATTATCGTATACAAGTCTTGAATCCTGATCTAACCTTCTCTCATTCATTTGGTAGTAGAGGATCAGCTAATGGACAGTTCCAGTCTCCAATTGGCATTGCTATTGACAGTCAAGGATTAGTGTATGTTGCTGATAGGAATAATCATCGCATTCAGAAGTTCTCTCCAGATGGAAAGTCTGTGGGTCAGTTTGGTACTAAAGGATCTGATCCTGGACAGCTTAAACAGCCAGCAGGTATAACAATAGACACTGCAGCTCGTACTGGTCTAGTGTATGTTAGTGAAGAGGGCAATCATTGTATATTGGTCTTCACTAGTGATGGTGTGTTTGTTAGGAAGTTTGGAAGTAAAGGCAGTAATATTGATCAGTTTAGTGCTCCTTATGGGTTAGCATTAGATAAAGATGGAGTTTTGTATGTTTGTGATTATTTTAATAAACGACTTGTTGTTTATTAGAGCAATGAGCTGTTGTTTAATGTTATAATATTTTCTTTTGTAGTAAAATATGTTCATTTTAGCTTGTTACTTTGTGCCACGTTGCAGCTGCCTAACAATCAAATATTACATGATAAAAAATAAAGGCAAATTGTGATTAATTATGATCAATCAAAATAAGTCCTTATTATTATAATATTAATATTTCCATTAGCTATTAATGATGCTCCTCCAGTCCCAGTTAGATCCAGGGACGGTAAGAGGGGTAGTGTCCCTATTGCCCCACGTTCCTCTCATGTTCCTGTACCGGAGGAAGCTGATGGACCTCCTCCCGTGACTCCACCCTCTTCCGCCCCCTCAATACCTCTGAGTGAGTGTGGGTGGTACTGGCAAGATATATCAAGGTTATTAATTAATTAATATTTATTATAATTGATGTGAATTTATATTTTAATTAAGTAATGTTGTGAGTGACTTTGAAAATGTTAAATCATTTAAAGGAAAATATAAAATTTACCACTCAAAAACACTAAAATTTTTACTATACACAATATTGAATGGAATTAAAGTCCTCATTAAGACTAATAATAATCATAAATGTATTATACTAGTATTTATTCTCTCCCCCTCCTCTACAGGGAAGAGGTTACTGCTAAATTAAAAGATGCTCCCGAAGGTTCTTTCCTAGTCCGAGACTCTCAAAGAGGAGCCTATACACTGACGGTGAAGAAAGGAGGACAGAATAAGCTGGTCCGTATCATAAGCAGCAACGGACTCTATGGGTTCTCAGACCCCACCCAGTACAGGAGTGTACCTGATCTAATTGATCATTACAGGTGAATGGAACTATGGAGAGATATGGATCATACTGTATATCTGGAAATTTATGATTTAGAAAATTGTGCTGTGATTTAATTTTCACATAATAAGACTGTGTCATGTATTATTGAATGTGACATGTAAATACATGTACATGTATAGGGTGATCTAATTTCGCTAATTTTTAATTTAGCAAAATTAAAGTCATATAGTAAAAATTTCCAGATAGACGGTATGTACATGTACATGTAGCACATTTATGTGTTCTTAATTGTTAAAGTTAAGTTGATTTTATGTGAATTTATGTAAATTATTTTTATTCTGAATCACCTGGAGTCCTTTATGTAGCACCTGTCCCAGCTGCTACTAACCACACTACATGTACATGTGTACTCTTATCAACCACAGCAGGGAACCACAGCCATTCTACTGTAGACCATAATACTACTGTAGCACCTGTAGTCTGTATTTATTATCATCATTATCTTTATTATTATCTTTTTAATTTAATTTTTTTTTTATTATAGGGAAGTCTCTCTCTCTCAATATAATCCAAGGCTTGATGTTAAGCTGCTCCATCCTGTCTCAAGATTTGCTAAAGTTAGTACATGAAATAATCATGAGCAATAAATTAATGACTCTGAAATCACCTCTAATTTTTATTCCATTTTCTGATACATATTGATGTCCTTATGCTGTGTAGCAAGTTTGAGCTGATTATGACTTTAATTTTTCAAGTTATGGCCATTTTAAGAAAATGGCAAAAAACCGAAAAATACCCAAGGCTATAGCTATAGCCCATGGTTTTTTCCAAAAAATGGCTCCAAAATCACCCCAAATTTTTATTACATTTTCTGATACATATTGATGTACTTATACTGTGTAGCAAGTTTGAGCTGATTCCGACTTCAATTTTTCAAGTTACGGCCATTTTAAGAAAACGGCAAAAAAACTGAAAAATACCCAAGGCTATAGCCCATGGTTTTTTCCAAAAAATGGCTTCGAAATCACCCCAAAATTTTATTACATTTTCTGATACATATTGATGCCCTTATGCTGTGTAGCAAGTTTGAGCTGATTGTGACTTAATTTTTTAAAGTTACAGCCATTTTAAAATACTGCTAAAATACATGTACCCTGTACCATAGCCCATGGTTTAACTTCTCTCCCTCTCCCTCCCTCCGTCCAGATATCTGAAGAAGGTGTGGAAGAGGAAGAAGATGAAGATAGAGAGAATGACGTCGAGGAACTTCTGGAGAAACTAAAGGACGTCACGGAATTATTTGACACTAAAAATGAGGTCTACCTCGAGATGGAGAAGAGATCAGAATTAATGAAAAAAGTAAAACAAACAAACAAACAAATAAATAAATAAATAAGTAAATAAATAAATGAATTAATAAATGTAATTGGTTGAAACTTTTACAAGTTAAGTACATGTACGTCTATTCCGGACACTTGGGATTGAGTAATATTTTCCTATCTCTTAATTAGGAACTTGAAGTCACTCGTACTAAGTACAGTGGCTTTGGTAACGTCGCTGAGATGCTTAAAGAGCAGCTCGATTTTCTTAGACATCACGACCTCACTGCTTCAATATTAGCAGATAGAGACAGAAGATGGTACTAAAATAAATAAATAAAATAAATAAATGAATAAATAAGATAATGGATAGATACTTACACATTTACATAAATGATAGCAATATTTAGTAACTATTCACAAATCTTCTAATTCTCTCTCCTCCAGTATAATGGACAATGGTAAAGAGTTGGGGAAGAGATTAGAACAAGCTGAAGCCTGTCATAGGAAGGCATTGAGTGATATGAGGGACTGCAACAACAGGTTCAGGGCTCTTGATAGAGACCTCAACACGCTAAGACCTGACCTGATGAGACTACAGTGGGAGAAGGATCAATATACCAGGTATAGTGGGTGTGGATGTGTGGGTCTCGATTTTTAGTAAGGGCCGGGTTTTTAGAACGATTAAATGTGTATATATTTAAGTTACACATGAATTATTGATAATGTTATTGAATTGATTACTTATGATAATTCATTGATTGATAAATAGTATGTTTCTTTTTTTAATATTTACCGGAAGGATATAGTTATAACTGATCATTAATTATTATTATTACATTAGTTTCAGGTTTTACTTAAAATTCATATAACATGTATATTTCTCTTATTTAATAGTAAACTGGTTCAGGAAGGATTGACTCACCATGAGATATCAGAACGTGTTAAAGACAAAGCTATGAATGAATCAGAAAGCATTTATGGAACACTTTATGGTACTCTGGAAGGGCAGGACGAAGAGTAAGTGAAGGGGTCCTGTGTTGATTGGGATTTTCGATAATACTGGGTCTGGTGATGGTTAATTTTCTTGTTTTATTTTAGTGAAGAAGATGGCGGAATTTATGAGCCCCCACCCGAAATACAGAATATTCAGTACCCTGGACCCCCTCCACCCCCCAGGTAATAATATACAAGTAAATTGTACTAATTTTATTATTTTCTCAGATCTGGCTCCCGGCCCCCTCCACCCATCCCTCCCACTACTCGAACCCCTGAATTGGGTCCGGCCCCTCCCCCAGCACTTCGTAAACCTTCTACAGGCGATAGGATGCCAATACCGCCCCCACACACTAAAACAAGAGTAAAAGTAAATAATTGACGAGGGAAACGTGTTCTGCCCCTATTAATTATTGCATTGATGGGGGGTTCTATCCCTATTAACTACTGCACTAATAAATGGTTGTTAGTGGGGTTGTCCCTATTAATTATTGCATTGATTGGAGGGGGGTTCTGCCCCTATTAGTCAAAGCAGATTGTAATTGGGTTGCTCCTATAATTACTGCTGGTTGTTAGTGGGGTTGCCCCTATTAATTACTGCTATTAATAAATGATGTTCATATTGTTTTTCTTAGCCTCCTGTACCTACGCTGGAGGACAGACCACATGTAAGGCAGGAGACCTGGTATGTGGAGTGTGACAGGTAAGAAGATAATCTGTACAGTATAATGAATATATACAATATATATTTACAATGGTTCAGGGCTCATGCTGAGATGCACTTACGCCATAAACAGGACGGGACTTTCTTGTGTCGTCCGTCAGGTAAAGCAATGCAGAACGCTAAAGGAGGACTCCACACTCACACCATCGACATTGTGTAAGATTAGTATTATTATTATTGTTATTATTATTATTACAATAATTAGAAATAAAACAGGTTAAAATGCATACACTTAGATGTAGAAAAATATTATTATTTATATATGCTAAAAATGACTGAAAAAATTTAATTTTACATTCGATGAATACACATGTATAATCACTGTTAGATCTAGAGGGAGTTTAGGAGACTTTTGGTCTCTCATATTTAGCCCTAGGTCTCCTTAAGTGCCACATTTTTGATTAGATTGGTCTCTGAAAATTTATTTCTACATATAAATCTAAATATTTTGTGTATTATTTTAATGATATTTCTCCCTCACCCCCTCAGTTATCAAGGCATTAAGCATTTGAAGGTTGTTCAAGACAGCAATAAGTATGGTTTCTCTGTCCCCTGCAACTACAGCTCACTGATTGATCTGGTCCTCCATTATTCTGAGAATTCGCTTGAAACGCATAATCCGAAATTAACCACAACACTTGCTTATCCTGTGTATAGTTAGGTTTTTATTATTATTATTTTTACATTTATTATTATTATTATTTTTACATTTATTATTATTTTTTTACATTTATTATTATTTTTTTGTTATTTGTTATTAACTATTTTGTGCCCAAGTTTTCAATTTTTTTTTTAATTTTCAAGTAAGAGAAATTTTTGTGCATTTTCTTTTCTCTTACTGGTAGTTTAGCAATTATTTCAAATTATTATTATTATTGTTATTCCTCAAATTATTTTGAGGCTTACAACTTTTAATTTGTGTGTGTGTGTGTGTGATTATTTAATAATTTTTTTACTAGAACTCTTTATTGATTTTGTTGAATTTTAGCAATTTTTAAGAATTTCAATGCACTGTTTGTTCACAGTGTGTTAATTTGAAAAACTGCAGTCTGACTTGCTACACAGCATAAAATGTATTAAAAATTTGGGATGATTTTGGAGCCATTATTTAGAAAAAACCATGGGCTATAGTACAGGGATTTTTTTCAGAAATTGACCAATTTAAAGAAAGGGCCGTAACTTGAAAAATTGAAGCCAGAATTTAAAAAAACATCAATATAAATTATTAAATGAGAGTATTTTGAAGTTGCGTACTATTCTTTGCAAAAAGCATGAGAAGTGGAAGCAAAAAGTCTGCTGCTATTAAAAGTATTGTTTTCAACTTTTCATAATGTTACAATCTCAAGTTCATTTACAAGGTGCCAACAAGCATCTGTTCACACCTCAAGATGCACAAAGAAGGTGTGAACAAGCTTGTAAAAAATAATAAGAATTAAAAGCAGGCACAATTTGCTATGCATACCAAGCTAGTTATATGATATCATGATGGGAATTTGCAAAGGAACTGCTCATAATCTCCATGTCCCCCTATATGGCTGGTATCACCATTTAGGTATAATTAAGGTGTTTTTTCAGTCACATTTTCAATATGTGTATGCAATAGGAAGGGGCTTTTATTAACAAATTCAATGTTTGCTGGTTAGGTAAGCAGAATGCTGACTGCTGATTAATTGAATAACGAAAAGAATGGGGAAATGCCATCAAAGTGAGCTTACATGTAAATGCATGGGAAAATTTTCTTTAATGCAACAAAAATTAATAATAATTATAAACACAAACAATAACAGCTAAACATGCTACATTTTGCAGAGTATAAACAGATTCCAAGCTGCAGCATTTTGCATTACTGCAGTGTTAGTCATTATTATTCATTCAGTAGTAATGAATGAAGTCTTTCTTGTACAAGTTTTCCCCCAGCATGTCATCATGTGCACTGTTGAACTATGTTTGAATGTTTGTGATTAGTCAGTTTCAATTTCAAAAATGAAGAACGGAACACGAAAATAATAATTATAACAACAACAGTGTGACTATTACCAATCATTACAGTGTGACTAAGGACACCTTTATAATGAGATCATATTGTATTGTCCCAATTGGTGGAAAACCTACAGTAAAGCGAACCTTCTCTTAACGGACACTCTCTATAGCGTACACCTCCATTTAACAGACAGCACCTAGTGTACTAATTACATTCCTTACTGTATACAAAAGTACTTTTGATGAGGACACCTCTGTATTAAGGACAAGTAGTGTGGGCCCAATGGTGTCCTTAATAAAGAGGCTACACTGTACATGTATTAAGGACATGTAGTGTGGGCCCAATGGTGTCCTTAATAAAGAGGCTACACTGTACATGTATTAAGGACAGGTAGTGTGGGCCCAATGGTGTCCTTAATAAAGAAGCTACACTGTACATGTATTAAGGACAGGTACTAGTGCAGATCCAATGGTGTCCTTAATAAAGAGGCTACACTGTACATGTATTAAGGACACGTAGTGTGGGCCCAATGGTGTCCTTAATAAAGAGGCTACACTGTACATGTATTAAGGACAGGTAGTGTGGGCCCAATGGTGTCCTTAATAAAGAAGCTACACTGTACATGTATTAAGGACAGGTACTAGTGCAGATCCAATGGTGTCCTTAATAAAGAGGCTACACTGTACATGTATTAAGGACAGGTACTAGTGCAGATCCAATGGTGTCCTTAATAAAGAAGCCACACTGTACACATCATCAGCATATGCAGTCATTGAATCTACATGAAGCAATCAAGACCTCATTTCCTGGTTATAGTCCATTAGTCCAAACGAAAACCTCAAGAGTGTACTATGCATTACAAGGTCAACTGCAGTGATATATACAGGATGTTTACATACAGTAGGAACTAAGGAGACTATAAAAGACAGCATGAGTAGGACCCTACAGACATCAAATATATAATAGTGCTGAAGACTCTTACTCCTTCTTTTCATTAGCAGTCTTCCTGCACAATCCAAGAAGAACATGGCTCCTTCAACTACATGTATATATCTCTTAATTCTCCTACTGGTTGGAGCATTGGTCCCTTTCAGTCAGTCAGCTTCATTAGGTAGTGGTGAGACAGTCAGCCCTAGCAGTGTAGAAGAGATTGAGCAAAGCAGTACTGCTGGTATTACAGCAAGTCCTTCACCATCACCAGTGCTGATGGAAAGGAAAGCTTCATTATCAGGAACACTGGAAATGCAGAGAGTAAGAAAGAAGAGAGAGAAACGAAGGGAAAGAGAAAGAGGAGAGATATAGCATTAAACAGAAACCCATTGCAGTATATTCAAAGAACTGCTATGAAGGACTATAAAGAGAGGTTTGAGGTTAATTGTGCCATAACAAACTGATGACTTACAAAAGCTTCATCTTAAAGGTCCAATTATCATTAAATCATGACACAGTGGAGCTTCACTTGTGTTGACTGAACTAAACCTCACTACTGAGTCTATTATGATCTTAATATCAGTTCCAAATCCCCTTCCTTTGTATTACCTACTTGATTCCTCTTACATCAATGAGCCCTCAATTTCTTCCCCCTCTCTCTCTCTTGTTTCATTCTCTTTCCACCTCATATCTTTCCCCTCTACCCTCTACCTTCCTATTATTCCTTCCCCTCTTCCTTTCCTCTCTCTTTCCCACTCTCTGCCATTCTCTCCCTTTTCTTTATTCTTTTACTTTCTTTCTCTCTCTCTCTCTCTTTCCCCCTCAGGATCTGCAGCTCCTAACTCTTCCAGAATCAAAATACGTCCATGCAGTTCAGTTATCAGAAGGAAGCTATTCTCTAGCAAGTAATGGAGACCCTAACCAAGACACTGTCTTCACTATAGAGAGATATGCCAATGGAGGGACTGGACCTTCACACTACTATAAGATGAGGAGAAGGGAAACACTTGAATATGCGTATGTCAGTGACAATGGTCGCATACTTATAGGGGTAAGAATATAATAATAATAATAATAAATAATAATAATAATAATAATAATAATAATAATAATAATAATAATAAGTGTAGGATAATTACAAGTACATGTTTATGCATCATCCTTAAGACATAAAAAGAACACAAACACTTCGGAAAAGGACAACAACACCCACAAAAACATACATGTACATGTACATGCATACTGGTAACCATGAACAACTGTACAAGCTTACAAGTACATATACAAAAATATATTAAACAGATACATTAACATAATACAAGTGGTTGTAGAGACATGTTGTTGTTTATTGAAGGTATAAATAAGCACACTAGACATTAGACTATAGTCTGGAATAAAAAGAAAACTTGAGAGAGACAAAGTGACTTGGAGAGAGAGAGAGAGAGAGAGTATGAGATGATTTAAAGTTCTATCAGGATATTATGTAAGAAATTGTGTGGCTTTTTCCTTCAAAGAAAGCCTCAAACACCTGCCACAGGCCACGGGCACTATGAACACTTGTAAGCTATAGCAGCTAGAGAAGAAAGAGAGAAAGAGGGGGGAGAGAGAGGGGGGGAAAGATAAAGACATAACTCTTATAATTGACATGACATTGTGCCCCCACAAACACACATTCAACAGATACCCTCTCAATATAATCACGTACAATTCCATCTTACTAATCAATTATACATCATAATACAAAACCTTTAAACTTAAGTTGCTGGACTAGCTTATAAAGTACAACTATACTACTCAATTCCCTGAAATATGTACATGTACTATTGCTACCGACTCTAAAAGTCTTTCTGTGTTTATAAATGAGGGACATTAAAAGGGTTAAGTCGACAAACATAGAGACAATGTAAGAATTTCCTTTTGATACATGTACATGTATGTACACAAACATCAAAGCAATTCACTATAATTAATGAATGGACATACATGTACATGTAGTGCTATACTATTGTACCTGTACAGTACAATTCCTTATCTATAGATTATGTTATGTGTATCCTAATGTATCTCTTCCTGGTCCATCCATAGATAAATAAACATTTTTATAAATATGACATTTCTGAGAATTTGAATGTACATGTAACGTGTAGCTCATTCCCAAAGACAATGGGAATCAAAACTGATGGACTTAGGACTTTTAGCGACAAATAATATACAACAATAATAATAATAATGATGACAGTAATACTGCCATGTTAGTAACAGCTTGGGTATAAAGAATCTTCTTAAAATAGTTATAAGTAAATTGGTGACCCTTTAATATATGGAGTAATGTTACTTAGTAGAATTACAGTACCCTATGAAATTCATATGATAATTATTTATTTCCTTGAAGTATTATTAAACCATCTCTTCTCTCTTCAGGAGGAAACAGCCTCTAAAGTACCAGCTGTTTTCGAACGTGTCGAACACAATGTTGAATCCTTCACCTTCATCAACTTGATACAGCTGAACAGTGATGGGTCGAGGACCAGCTGCTATATTGGATTTAATTCCGACTTTCAGGCAGTGTGTAGTAGCGAACAAGAAAAGCAATATTTGTTAGAAAATGTTCCACACAATAATATTGGGTGAAAGATGATGCAGTTTATAATAAAAAAGACTCTAGTTTGAAAAAGGCAATTATTATTATTATTATTATTATTATTTATTACTAATATTACTATTATTATTATTATTAATATCGTGCATTATAATTATCATCATCATTATTATCCAGTTTTTATCCTCATTAATATTCATTGATAGATCCTTCATTAATATTCATAGTCGTCAATTAACAGCAAACCTTTCACACAAACAAAAACACAAACAAACAACTTTCACTTTCAACAACAACAACAACACACTTCAAAAGGAACCTCTTCTCCATCAATTTACTTTATCATAATAACGAGAGATTTCCTGTTACTTCGTCGACGAGATAATTACGACCAAATAAGGCAAGGACAGTCAGAGATCCCGGCTCAATTTGAGTCTTGCCTTATAAGGAAAAAAGTATTTTAAACAATTAATCAAGAATATTTAAAGTCTTATAGTGTGTATTAACATGATAAAATGACAAGAAAATGAAATAAAGGACTTTGGCTTAACTTTTAACGGACAGCACCTAGTGTACCAATTACATTCCTTACTGTATAAAATAACCTCCACATAAAGAACACCTCTGTATAACAGAGACACTTTCTTGCCCATTATACATAGGCTAGTCTGTACATGTACATTAATTAAACTGTACGTGTATACATACTTACCAGCGTCGCTAATCATAAAATGAGGTATGTTCCTCTTTTTAGCTTCTTCCTCAAGTTCTTTTAAATGATCAACGTCCCTTCCCTTTAGCACGATCTTCTTAGCCCCGCCCATTTCCCATTCTTCTACTACCCTCTGTTCAGAGGGAGAGAGTAACAAGGTTTTATAAAGAGCGAGAGTTGCGTGAGCCACTTGCGAAGCAATCTTCCCGATGCCCATACCGATAGACGTATTGACGACAAAGACCATTTTTAAAGAGCGGGATTCCGTGGGTAGAGTAGGAGGAGGAGGATCAACAGAGAGTGGAGGTGGTTGGAACGGATCGTGAAGATTAGGGTCTTCTAGATGGTCAAAAACCCACGCAGCTGCAAGATCAGGGCTCGTGTTCCCGGTATGGTAGAGACCTCTTGATGCGGCATTTTCTGAAATACCCATTGATAAAAGAACCTGTACAATTAAAACAACAACATAATTTAATATTTTTAAGACATGGAGGGTTTCTCACAGAATTTTCACATGGTCAAAAGCTCATGCAGTTTCTCGTCAGTGGGTTTTTATGATGAAAACTTTGATGTATATTTACGTAGTATGTACAACTGTACATGACACACAAATTTTGAACTAGCCCTGATTTCAATCAAAATTGGAATTTTTAAAGTTGCTCAGAAATTGGGCTAAAGTCCTGTACTATAGTACATGTACATGGTCTCAGGTCAATTTTTGCCAAAATTGAAAGAGAGAGAATTTCCCACTTTTATAACTTTACCTGATACATATTGATGTACTTATGCTGTGTAGCAAGTTTGAGCTGATTCCAACTTCAATTTTTTGAGTTATGGCCATTTTTTAAAAATCAGCCAAAATCTGAAAATTACCCAAGGCTATAGCCCATGGTTTTTTCCAAAAAATGGCTCCGAAATCACCCCAAATTTTTATTACATTTTCTGATACATATTGATGCCCTTATGCTGTGTAGAAAGTTTGAGCTGATTCCGACTAAAAATTTTCAAGTTACAGCCATTTCAAAAACCGGCCAATCTCCAAAGTCCAAACTATAGCTCGTGCTTTTTTCCGAAAAATATGGAAAAATATCCCGACCCCCAAATAAGATATACCCTTTAATTTTTTAAACGTCCCTATCACATTACCTGTACACATTCCATATTTGGATACCATCTGTTATCGCTTGATCTAGTGTTAACTCCACCCACATTTGCCTGCGTAACAAAAAAGTATATGTAATAATTATAATTTAAATATAAATAATAATAATAATTAGTAGAAAAGTTAGAGTGAGAAGAGATCTTGCTACCTACTTCTCTCTCCCTTACCTCTTCTCGATAGGACGAGGAGGAAGCCATTAAACCTTCAAGAGAAAGAGCAAGAGCTCTTGCTAGCTCCCTTTCATCCGCCATTTTAAAATAGGCGTGGCTACTGGCTAATTTCAAAATGGCCGCCAGCAGACTGATACTTTTCCCGGGCTCTTTTCCCGGGGTTTCCAGCCGTTTGGCGGGGTTTGGCGGGAAACTCTGCAGCAGTACAAGATTTTGCAGTGGTGGATGTATAAAAGAGATTAGGGATGAGGGAAATAAATTCAGAAGATGCATACAATACAGTGGTGAAGGAGCAAGACTAGCAGTAATAAATGAAGGTGTACTTGTTAAGGAAAACTTTGTGAGCGAGAGAGAAGAGGAGGAGCTTGTGAAAGAGGCCCGGTCTTCTTTTAGACGTGTCAAGTATGAATATGATCATTGGGACGGAGTAAGACTGTGTCATTTAACTACAATTATGATGCTCTTATGTACATAAATTTACAATACATGCCATGCATTATGCAGTAGTGTAGCTACTAATGCTTACCATTAAGAAACTAATCTTCATTACAAGCAATCTTTAAGTTCATGAACACTCTTTCCTTTCAGGTTATAAAAGGATACAGAGAGACAGAGAAGTCCCAATGGCGTTCACAATCAAACCAATCTGTTATAAAGAGACTAGAAAAGGCCACTTTAGAGGCTAGTGGTGGTGAGGTCACAGCTCCAGCTGCAATGATGAATAACTCACCGCCAAACTCTCTACTGCTATCATCTGTGCATGTGCTTGATCTTGCTAAGGATGGGTAAGTGATTAGACATTGAACTTCTCCTTTTGAAAGAGAGAGGAGAGAAAGAGAGGGGGGTATTAGAGTGAGTAAGAAAGAGGCTAATTATCTCTTCAATGGAAGATTGAGTGTACATCCGCATACAGCAAATTAGATTAAATTGAATTAAATTAAATTGAATTAAATTAAATTAAATTAGATTAAATTTGCTTTTCATGCCATCAATACATGTTCATGTACTTTTCAGCATTCACTGATTCCCATTTAATTTAATAATGGAGGATTCTCTATTCAGTGAAATTCCCAGAACAAACTCACCCACACACACTCGTCATGCACAGACATACACAGCATATGCTTCACTAAAATTGTTAGTACCTATGTACAACTTTTGATTCCTGTGTACATGTAATAAATACTCAATTCTTAGTCAAACTGATTTGTACTATATTAAACTGACTTGTACTATATTAAACTGATTTGTACTATATTAAACTGATTTGTACTATATTAAACTGATTTGTACTATATTAAACTGATTTGTACTATATTAAACTGATTTGTACTATATTAAACTGATTTGTACTATTAATACTATAAACAGTGCATGGGAAGCACAAAGCCTACTCTACAGCTACCAATAATATAATTACACCATCCATAACTAATTAAACTTTACCATGTATGAGAGAGAAAGAAGTAAATGAGAATTATACAGTTGTACTTAATAGATATATCAATCCTCATATTGACAATGTTAAATTCTGTGGTACTACAATTGCTGGCATTAGCCTGTTATCAGACAGTGTCATGAAACTGGTTCACCAAGAAAGGAAAGATGACTGGATTTTAATGCTACTACCGCAGAGATCTCTTTACATATTAAGGTAGATATTCATGCATAATTTTGTTACTGATTCCGTGTTAATCTACAGTGCATGCGTGTGAACCTTCTTTAATCTTCTTGTCTCCTGTCCTTTTGCACTCAAATTGACTCAGTTATCTCATTTTTCCTTCTTCTTTCCCTTCTTTTTCCTCATCACCCTCTCTTTCTCTCTTCCCCCCTCTCTCTCTTCCCCCCTCACTCTCTCTCTCTCTCATGTTATACAGAGATCTTGCAAGATATGAGTATGAACATCAGATACTACCAGATTCTTTATCATACTTTAATAATGAACACATTCAGAGAGACAACAGAATATCAATTATTGCTAGAACTAAACCTTTTAAAACAACTTAGATGCTTTGCATTCATTTGACTGTATTGTGATTGTTGTCATTTGTGATTGTGAACAATGGCCGCCTTGTTATAAATGCCTGTCCATTTGTTTCATTGGTGAGATGTAAAATGAACAGTAGATTACATATACACAATAAGGATAGGAAGTGTACATGTATAGTACACTAGTAATTATTGCTTTGCTCTCTTTCAACGCCTTTGCTGTTTCTTTGAATTTAGAATTGAATGAAATTTATTTTAGCAAAAAAAGACCTGAAAATTATTGCAAAAAAGGCTTATAGCAGCTGCTTAATATAATTATGAGTTTAATATTATTAGTCCAGTCCATTAGCAGGTATGAATACGGTATACTCATGCAGAGATGCTACCAGCACCAGCAGACGTTATGATGGTAACTCTTGAAGTAATAGTAGCTCCCATGACGACCTCGACAGTGGTTTATTAAGCACTTGCAAGTTTGGCCACGTCTATGAGTTTCTTCAACTTCTATAAGCAAAAAATTAAGATGTAAATGATTTATATACATACACTATAATAACAGTATTGGATTGGTTATGGCAAATTGTGCAAATAGGTAACTCACCATTAGCAAAATCATCATTTGCAAGCAAATGAAAATGATAAAGTTTGGTCATTTAAACTAAAAAATGCTACAATGAGAATGTCACTGAACGGCTCATACTTTTAGGATAACAAAGTAGGGATTTGTCAATAAACCATTGAATTAAATTCAATGAGAATCAATTTAAATTTAAAGTCAAAATTCTAGTCTTGCTACCCAGACCCTTTGGTGAAAAATATTAATACAAACTTACCAGGGAGATTTTCTTTAATATTTTCTTCAATATTTTCTTCAATATTTTCTTCAACCTGTGGATGTCCTTTTGATAAATGTATGTCATTAATTGTTCAATAGACAATAATAATGATAACTTACTTAGACTCTCACTGTAAGCTGCAGCAATGAAGCAGCTAATGACAAGAAGGACAGCAATCTTCATTATTGTACAGGATATATATATTATTGATAATAATATACTCAATAATCAAACTGCAGACTGTGATGGACTGTAGAGCCGCAAGAGCAGCTTACTTTTATACCATAGGTATACCATTAGAGAAACTAGTGCTTGGCATTCATTTACTTTCAGATGACTATCTCTCCATCAATTGTTAGTGTAGGACAATAACAATGGAACAATGATATACATACTTCCTTCAATTGTTGTTGTTGTTCAGTATCATGACAATAGTCAATTGTTAGTCCATCACTATCAATAGGATCAGATGTCCAATAGTATCTTTCATAATGAATATCCTGCCAGTAGTAGATATGCTTTTGTGTGTACTGAAGACAAAGATGTAAGTATAGCCAATTGGAAACAAAGAGAACTGATTAATCATCAAACCAAAAATCATGAGCAGTTGAACAAGAGGTATTAAACTTGTTCGGATACTTATCTGATGATGTTCAGATACCAACATAC